AGAGTGGGACATGTCGGATCGCAAAGTCGTCACCAGCATTGTAAGCCCCTCCTAGAGCCACTGCCACTATACTGGTCCCAGATGCTCTCTGGTCAGAGGAAGAGAAAAACACCTTCAGGATGACCAGCAAAAGCATCACCCTGGGGTACGCAAAACCACGAGGCACAAAGACCCATCAGAAGGCCCGAGGCTGACGTGCTGAATTGTACTTGCAGATGTGTTCGTAGCTGTTGCCACCAGGAACGTACGGGAGATGTAGCACGGCAGCTCGTTGCCGTGCTCGTGGCTGGCATGTGTTTTCCTGGTGCGTTTGCATGTGGCATTTGGGGACTGAGTCCTCTCAGGGTGCATGTGGGAGCACATGTGTGGCCTGCTGGATTTGCAAAGGGCTTGTGGCACGGTGGAAGGCCCTTTCTTACCCATCTGCTCACTTAAAACCCTCATAGTTTCTCTCTTGCAGGTGTCACCACATTATTTTGGAGAGAAAGCTATGGAAGTGGGTAGGATAGACTTAACATTGAGAACATACGTTTTTTGGGGGGCGGCATTTTACAGGGAGATAGCTTTGTCTGTAATTAACAAAGCCATTAAAAACTATCACGTCAGGTGGGGAGGGAAAGCCGTGGAAAAGTCTCGTGTTATGACGAGGACAACATTTTATCACAGCAGTGGTTACAGCTTTTAAGCAAGTGCAAAGCAGTGCAGTTTCTTGCCTTATTTTGTGGGCAGAAATGGTGGATGTACCGCAGTGAATGAGCCGTGTACAGGTCCCATTCCCACCCCGGTAATGGCTACGACTCTTGGGGGGGGGGCTTCTGGCAGCAACATGCGTGGCAACACCTGCTGGGCAGTAACACGAAGCCCCACGGGCCAAAGAAAAACGTGATGAGGAGGGCTTGCACAAACCTTCGCATAGTAAAAGCCTCCATCCCACAGGTGCACACACACACACACACACACTCTCTTACACACAACCAATGCTATGCAAAAAAAAGCAAAAGATGTCACCTTCTGAAATTGTTTTTATGTCCCGAGTTGTAAAATTTATTTCCTGATTGCTCTTCATTTTAGAAATTTTAAGAAGCCATTCTTAAAAGGCAGCATCTTCAAAAATGACTGTGAATGGACATGCCTGGTGCTTTGATGCATAACTTTCCCAAGTTTCTTGTACTTAAATACCTTATGTGAAGATCATAGAATCATAGAATGGTTTAGGTTGGAAGGGACCTTAAAGATCATCTAGTTCCAACCCCAAAGGTGCCCACAGAACTTTCCTACTGGCTCTTCCTCACGGAGAAGCGGCATCGCTGTGGGGGGAAGCCCAGCTAGGATGCCCTTGCTAACTGATGCAGCTCACGGCAGGGGTGGCTGCCTGCTCCCCGTTACCCTCCCACCTGGTTGCAATTTAAACCACTCTTCATTTCAGCTTCCATGGATAGGCAGACCCAAGGTGGATGTGGGCAGTGGGCTGGGGGTGGCGGAGGGGGTGACGTGTCCGGTCCCTGTCTCTCTGCCCAGGGTAATCCCGTGCCTGCTCAGGGAAGCCGGGGAAACCCTTGCCTCCCACGGACGGGGAGGTTGTGTTCAGAGAGGGGTGATGGCTGATGCAGGTTGGGCTGCGTGATTGCTGCTGGCCCTGCTGAGGACACTATTAAAACCCAGTGCTGGGGTTTGTGGCAACACAAGAAGGGTATCACCATCCTCCCAGTATAGCTGAGGAGATGGGATCCTGGGAGGACATCTAGTACAGCCCCCCCAGAGCCCAGGCAAACATCGCAGGTCAGCACCTCCTGGCTGTGCCTGCACCAGGAAACAAAGCAGGACTGGGGCACCAGCCCGGCCACAGATGGCTCTGGTTCTGCCGTGCTGGCCAGAGCCGATAAACACCCTCCCAGGCAATGCTTGGCCATGGGCTTGGGACAGTATCTGCTCCAAGCAGGCAGTTCAGTTGTGCCCACCCAGTTTTGGCGAGGGAAGGGAAGAGAGGAGGGGAATGAGCACTCACGCAGTGCCACTTGGCCCCAGGGCCGGGGAACGGTTCCCAGCTGGTTCTGCAGACTGGCAGGGATGCAGCCACCAGAGACCACCCATCACTTACCTAAAGCTTTTTCTCTTCCATAAAGCCTCTTTCCCACTGGGGAGGTCGGGCTGTGTTTGGCTCGGCTATGAAAACCAGGGCCTCTCCCCTCAACCCGCTGAGCTACTTTGTCCCTCTGAATTAACCAGCATTGTTTTTAACTCATTGAATGGTGTGGATTAGAGCCAGCCAGCCCACGGGCTCTTGCCCAGACGCAGATTTGCTAGTCAATGGCACCAGGACTCGATGAGGTCTGGACCTTGCCAAGGATCTTATTGCTTATCCTTTGGATGAGCCCGGAGCAGCCCTGCGTGCCCGGTGGCCCTCCGATGAGCAGAGACGGGGCCGGTGCGGGCTGGAGCTGAGCGGCCGCTCTCCTGGGCAGCCCGTGGAGATGGTGTACCAGGCGGCCCCGGGAAGATGGGGAGATGGGTTTTAGTTTTTTAGACAGCTGTTAAAATGTTTTCATTTAATCAGCCCCGGTACGTACGCCTCAGTTAAACAGCTGGCATCCGAGCTGAGACGCAGGGACGTGTAATTTTGATTCCTACCTTTCTGTTTCAAAGCTGTCTCGTTTTGAGCACTTTGATCCAAAGACTAAACTTACTGTGGCATATTTATGTATATGACATTTTCATTCGCTCCCTTATTTATTTATTTTTGCAAAACACATCACTTAGAAGGTTTCTAGAGCCAAGGTGGCGGGTGCTCTGTGAAGGAAAACACGCGGTCCAAATGCTGACGCTCGCGTGTGCTGCAATAGTCCCCTTTTATACATGTCGTGGGCTCAAATTGCACGAGCGGTGGCAACGCATGGAAGAGAGCATGCAGAAGAGGGAAAATCACGCTGGGGGTGAGTGATGGTGTATTTAACACTGCGTCCCAATGGGCTGGCTGGTTTGTTTTTGTTTTTTTTTTTTTTTCCTAGAGTTTTACAATTCTTTTGGGGTCTTTATGGTAATTCAATGCTTTTGCCCCTCTCTCTGGTATCAGAGTATCAGAGTGCCTCATGTTATTTAGCATACTGATCCCCCCAACATCCCCAGGAGGCAGGGACATGCTCCTACCCCACCTTACAGCAGAGGAAAACAGAGAAGTTTGGATGGGTGAGGAATTGTAAAGAGGTCTCCCAAGTCCTAGGAGAGACCTCAGACCAGCGGACCAACCCTGCCCCATCTGACAGCACTTCCAAAAAGCTGAACCAGTAGCATCCTTGAATATCTTACTTCCAGGACACTGGGAGTATGACATGCCCAACGAAACACCCATTTCACCTCAAACTACAGCAAGAAGTTGGTTTATTTCCCCTGAAGCAGCACGGCGGTCATTTTTAAAGCTCGGCCTCAGGGGTACCGCAGTGAGGAGGCAGAGCGGCAGCAGAACGGCGAAAGCCGACTTCCCTTGAATTTGGGTCTTTTGGTTGGGTTCTCGGATGTCAAATAAGGCATAAACTCCACCTGATGCTTTTCCTGGGCCTGCAGCGTTAATAAAACCTCTCGCCTGGGGCAGGCTTTCTGGTATATGTGTGATGTTCTGCCTTTTCCCTTGTGTGGGACACACATGGGGTCTGTCCCCTCTGTCAGCTGCTTTGCTGCACAAAATCTGTGGGGATATATTCAGAGTCAAGCCCTTTCCCTATCTGTTCCAGTGCTTTGAAGTGGGTGAAGGGTTTTAAAGCCAGTTTGAGGCCGGGGGAGGCACAGAAAGAGGTACAAACAGACAGGGACGGCCATGGGGACCGTGGTCCCCCAGGCCCTCCCGAGGCAGCCAGGCTCCCGTGAGCCACCTGAAGAAGAGATGCTTCTTGGGTGAACGTTTCAACACCCGGGGTACCTCCTTCACACTTTCCTGCCCCCCCAGACCGCTCCTGTTGCGGCGGCTCTCACCCTCCCAGCTCAGCAGCAGCCCGAATGCAGCTCCGCAGTCTGAGACCGGCTTTAATTAACCGGGTCCTCCTGCACATGCGCACGCGCCGGCACAAACAGCCCCGTTATCCACGTGGAAACGCACACTTCATTTCTGTGGTAACATTTTAAACCCTTTCACTGATGGTTTTAGAAGGTCTTGGGCTTCCTATTAGGAGCGATGTGACTGATGTTAAGATTGAACTGAGAAAACTCAGAAGGTTAAATTGAAAAAAAAAGTTACTCCTTAAAAAAAATGCAAAAACAACCAGAGGCATTGCCAGGGCTATTCAGTTCTCACCTTTAGAAAAGGCTCTTTAGTTCGTACACCTCCAAACCCTGAATCCCTGGGAAGGAAGCGCTGACACCAACCCTCCCTTCGCTCCTCCTGATCCCTTCTTCCCTCCCTTGCCCTTCCAAATACGCCTATAGGTGTTTGTGAGCATTTTTTTCTTGCCCAGAGGAAATCAGCAGGTGACCTGGCTGCTGGTGTTGGGCTGCTCCGTTACCTTTTTGTGCCAGATCTCACCCAGAGACCTCAACTGGGTGTCTGTTTCGGGCATGACAATCTTTAAACTGTCCTTGGTCGAGTAAAGAAGAACCAGAAGCCATTTACCACATAATGGTACCCTGCACATCTGAAGGAGGAAAAACACCTACAAGAAAAAGGACCAATATAAGAACTGATGCGGTTCATTTTCAGTCCAGGCTTTCTAGGAAGAAGGTGCTGCTCTACCTTTCCTCTCGTTTCAAAATTACGAGCCTATCCTTGATCTGGGAAAGTGCTGTGCTCAGATTAAGGCCACATACGATGAACCAACACCTCAGAACACGTGTAGTTCTTTATTTTGAGGTATCTGTAGGCAGTTTTGGCTGGCGTTTCATCACACCTCAATTTTCTTTCTACTGAGGCAGAATCACTCTCGTACACTGTAAAACACCGTTGCTACCTCACACTCTAGGCAGTGAGCTGTAACTAAACCACGCGCACGCAGCCTGATCTTTTTTGTGTCAAATACCTCCGCAACGCCAGCTGTATAACAGTCTCACATGTATTAGTCATCGTAGCGCCCCGCTGACACCCCCAGGTTAGAACTACTCTGCTTTTCTGAAGCCAAAAATACTCCTGGAGTACAAAACTGCCAGAAGAATATCAACTGCAATTACAAATCTGAACTAAATACGCAGCATTATGGCCTTTTCATTATTACGTTTCTGTGGCAAATTTTTCCGTTGTGCATCGTTCAGTCATGTTGGGGCAATTCGTTAAATAATATTGAGGCACTTCATCATGGAACAACATTTGAGGTGATTTACAGTTCGGTCTTTTAGCAGCACACCTGTAAATTGCTATAAATAATGCTAACCCCTATTAAGGAGACACGAGGGTGCTTCCAGGCTGAGAGACTTAATAGGGAGGCAGTTGTGGATGATACTGGGTGAAAGCACTGCCAGTTTACAACTGGTCGGGTTGCTCCGACACAGAGATCCGCCAGCACGCCCCACGGCCAGGGTGTGAAGAGGAGGGTCCGAGTTTCCGAAGGGCAGAGTCTGGCAGGCGTTTAGCAGCAGGCTGCTGTGCAGAGATCAGGGATATTCCAGGCTTAAGCACCTTTGTTTTTCTCGAGGGCATAACGTCACTTTTACAAATCAGCTGTTTGCGGCAAAGTTTAATTAGAGCTAGCTCATCATCTTTACTTTTCATCCGTATCGAGTCTTCATTCGGCAGGCAGCCAAGGTTAACGACGGACAGGAGGCTCCGAAGCACAGCAGACACACCAAAATCCCAGGCTATAGCAATAACAGAGCAAATCCTGCTATCTTAAATGTTGCTGAAACCTGCAAACTGGGGAAAACAGTTGTGAAGTCAAGAATGAACGCAGATAAACAGAACTTAGCCGCTTTTCAAATGCAGAAAGCCAATGAGTTTAATCACTTTTCAGCAGTATGGAACAGTTTTGTTTTTCCTAGTAATGTAAACAACCGCACAATCGTTTTGGAGACGTGACTTTCCTTTGGTTAGGAAGAGGTTTCAGACAATCAGAGAAAAAAAGACGGCGGTTCCTTGTAAAGAAGGAACTGCACGTGCCAACTTTTTGGCAGGTGATGTGAGGGGTGGGTGAATGAGCTTCTGCAGAACCCAATGTTAACCACAATTGTGAAGGCAGAGGGGAGACTTTAAATGAAGGGGAAGGAGGAAACAAATGAGGACAAAGAAAAGCGGGGAAGAAAGTGCAAATGAGAAAGGAATACAGCAGGCTCAAAAACTAAGTTTTACTGTAATTTGTATTTGGGTTTTGACCCGAAGCTTTTCAGCTGGGGAGTGAGATTCTGGCTTAGTTCTGGGGTGAATAGCCATCTAACTCGATCGACAGAGGTTTGTTTCTTTTTTAACGCTGCAATGCTGCATGTGGAAAAAGGTGAGAAAAGGGGATCAAGCTCTTAACCAAGGAACCGGTCATGGCAAAACAGGCAAAATCATGGAAAGTACTTTCCCCCCAAATGGGCGATCATTATACAGTGATGCAGAAGAACAGCTAAAGATGACAGAACCACTTTGAACTATGAAATAAACTTTTTCAGCTCATAGGACCATTATGAACACTTGTGTTTCAAAGGTGTTGAAGATGATTTACAGGGAGAAATTCAAAAGGCCTGAGTACAACCATCAGGAAGCCAAGATGTGAAGACACATAATTCAGGGCTACCACATGCAGATTTTTACTTCAGCTTGCAGTATCTGGGGAGGCTTTGAAGCCTTTGCTTCAGGAGTCAAGTGATGGCCTGAGAATTGCAACTTCCATTGCAGGGAAGATGTTGCAGGATAGAGCTTTAGCATACACCATGAACAAAATCCAAAGGCTCAGAAACCAGAGGAAAAAGTAAAAGGACTTCAGCATGTCTTCATTGAACGGAGGTCTCAGGAGGCCTTCTTCACCTATACAATGATTTGAGACAACGCATATGATGACCATATTTAAAGCAGACTATGTACACGCGCTGGTCTCGCAGAAGATGAGAGGAAACCTGAACCGTTACAGGAAACATTTATCTGTTCATACAGCCCTGTGGAGCCACTGCAGCACTGCAAAAGGCAGAGGAAAGCTTTGCTGTGTTGTGGAGGATGAATTCATGCAGAGGAAAACATCACGCAGTACGGCCTTGCAGCCGGTGTAGGCTCTCTCCTCTGCCGGGGAGTAGCTGTTACTCGCCAGATGTGGCCACCTCCAGGCACTTGCCTGCTGGGCCAAATGCTCTGAACTACACCTGGGATTTGGCTGAACCCAACTGGCTCTGTTTTAGAGGTGTGAAAGCCTCCTTCTGGCTCACTTAGTCGATACCATGACAGGCTCATGACGCGCAGCCCGGGAGTCTGGCCTTGGTTTCACATGCTCTTCCAGCGCATGAAGATCACTATGTATTTCCGACATCTTTTTCCTTTGAAAAAATAGTTAACTCCACTCTCACTCACAGTCCTGAAGATATTTCACTCATGTCTGATATTAAGAAACGTACAACAGGGACTGCAGAAATGAATCACACCATCTGATGGTGAGATTAAACCCAGCAGCTTTCAAGGGAAAGTGCATCGTCTCACTGATGGAAATACCACAGCTCCCTACAGTGGGATGTGGGATCTGGGAGAAACAGAGGGGGTGACTAAGGCAAGCATACTTTTTGCAAATATATTAGTTTAGGGTTTTTTATTCTTTTACTTCGCTCACCTTCACACACTGTTTTTTATCTACTTTGCATAAACTACCAAGTTTTCGGGCACAGATGGCCTCAGATAGTAATTTTCTAGGCAGATTCCACTATCCGGCAATTTTTTAATCAGGAAGAAGGAGGGGAAAAAAACCTAGAACATGACTTATATGAGTGACCCTAACCAGCAACACTGATTGAACATCTCCCGCTCCGAGGCGGTTTGGCGTGTGTGCACAGACACAGCTTGTGCCAGCACAACTCTCCCGGTCCCCGGCTACTGTGCCAAGCCTGGTACGCACAAGTTAGCTCAAAGCTGCTTCCTAGTCCTAACATCTTAGAGCCTAACCGGCTCCTGCGGTACTTAAAATATGCATACTGATCCTGGACATATTTCCTGCCCCTGTGAGACTCACCTTTGCTGGCCTGAAAGTTTGTGTTTCAGGAGACTGAGCTGGCTCGGTCCAGGCTGGTTTCACACAAGGGTTATCAGCTCCGGCTAAAGAGAACTTCCCCTACAGGCACATCAGTAAGACTTGTTCGTGGTGTTCCCCCTTAGTTATACAGAGTATGCAGTGCCAACGTGGATTGCATTGCTTTTGTAGAGCCCCGAGCTGCGGCGGCACAGTAGGTACACAGCCACTTGGCTGACCTACAGCCATCATTTTAAAAAAAACAAAACCATTTGTCACATAAGGGAGCTGCTGACTGCCGTTAGGGCCTCCGTACCACCAGCATGGGAGCACCTACATTTTACAAGCCTGCGTGGATGTCCACTCACTGCTGGCTCTGTGCACACTATCTACTCTGCTGTTGCTGGCAAGGCCAGCTGCACCCCTCCCTGTCCCCCACCAGCACAGGGTAGGCTGGTGCTGGATTTCAGCAGGGAAGCGTGAATTCAAAGTGCCATATATCCTCCTTCCTTTCTGCTTAACTGTCCCCATCTCAAGCAGCTCTTTAGCCATTTCTGCCCAATGCGCTGCAAAATGTGAATGCATCGGTGATATTGCTCTCCCGGAACAGAGGCTTGTGGAGGTGAAGTAAAAGCAAAGGCTCTAATTCATCAAAATATTCTAATATCACAAAGCTCCTCTGAGAGTATCAGGGCTCAGCAGACATGAGAGCTCATTGCAATTCAGAATGTAAAAGTTAAAGGGGCTGCTGAGAGAGAGTGGGGCCTGGAGACAGAAGTTAGGTAATCCTGATCTTCCCTTGTCATAAATAAATTTTGTTTTAATCTGTACTGCGAGCCTGGCATGAGCGCGGTCTGCCCAGAAAGCAGACAGCAATGCCAGGGAAACTGATTTCCTGCTGCTCACGTGGAAAGGGAGAGCGTCTAATTTTCTCAGCCAACCGATGCTGAGGAGCCGGGAGGCAGACAACTCTTATGAGAGAAAACAGGAGAAAATAACAGTGACCACCATGCTTCGGGGAGAGCTCTTTGAAGGCGTTTTTAGAGGCACTGCTGTGGACTTAAGTCCAGATTCGAGGCACTTGAATTACAAACGGTGAACTTGTGGCCAGATGGGGCAATGCCTTCTGAAACAGCCCAGGAAGACCAGAGAGCAATGTTGCCAGGCATAGAATCGCTCAGTGTTGGAGGCAGCAACCTTTCAAAGGTGATATACCTCTCTATATGGATCTATATTGCCCAAATTGGTGGTTAAATGTGCCAGTTATGAAAGCTGGTGTTGAAGGAAGCTGCCTCCCAGAGACAAGGCTTACCTCTCCTCAGTCTGTCTCGGGTAGGAGATCTCACTCCTAGCTGGGTTCAGAGCTGAGTGGGAGCCAGGAGCTATTGCTGACCCCAGACACTCCTCTTAGGACGCTCAAGTTCTCAGCCTCCGGGTCTTCCACGTGCTATTGAAAATCTGCTGTCCACTGGTTTCTGTCTACCCACGCTGCAGGTGGCCAAGCTGCAGAACTGAGCTGGGGAACGGGTAGCTGCTGGGACAACGTGAGATTTTGTCCCCTCTCCCTGCGACCTTACAAAGAGCTGAATAATTCCTCTAGGGCTGCACACTCTCAGCTCCCAGAGACTTCAGGTAGGGCCATCGCCAGCGCTTCACATCTCACCCAGGTTAGCTGTGCCTGAAAGATGCTCTTCTTGTAAAATTTTCTGTCTGCCTTTCACGTGGTAATGAAACAAACAGGCAACTTGATTGTTAACCCCCGTGCAACAAACCTACTCATTCAGCAGGGACGGGGACAGGGGATTTTAGTTACTAAATTTCTTTCTCACCGATTGAGAGGAAGATTGATTCCTCCAAGGCAGCACTGCAGCAAGTGGGTATGAATCTGGAACTCATTTTGTCCATCCCACAGACGAGCTAAGATTAAACAGGTGGCTTTCAATTA